TTAAGAAAAGCTTTGACAGTAGTGTGAATATAGCTAGGAAATTTGTTTTTCTTTTGAAGACTTGAAAGCTCTGTTTGTGTGGCTTGCCACTTAAGAGTTCATGGAACTGTTCGTGTTTCTGGAAGAACAAGATTTTTTGCTTGATACCCTGGAAAATCCAGACCAAGAAAATGTCGTCAACAGAAATTGCTACAATGTCTAATGCATTTTTTTCTTCCTGTTACAAATTTTCATAGCTCCATCACCATGCTTTTTATTCTACATATGGCTAGAAATATTGAGTGAGGTTTTCAGAAACATCCAGCAATGGTTTAACCCTGCTCTTCTGAACAGCAAAGGGTTTTTCTTGTGTTTTATTGGGGTATTTGATAGGGGAAGGCCAATGCTATCTAGGAGCTTTGATTGTTGTGTGTTTGTGTGTGTGTGTTTTCTTTTTTTAATCATCAGGACTAAAGCTATAATAAACATCTGAAAGCGAACTTCCTGTTTTAAGATATTATCCGTACTGATCCTTTTCTTTTATTATAGTGTTTTTTAAATTAATTTGCTGAATTTTTAAACTTTTGGTTGGGAGTTTCCCAACCTCCTCTAAAACCAGCTGAATGGAAGCAGACATTTTTGGCCCAGCCACCTTGGTTGGAAAGGAAGACCTAGATTAGAGTCATTTATGAATGAGTATCGTTACTGCGATTCAGTAATTCAGTGACCAGAGAACGACTTTTCTGCATTCCTGTAAAACTGCTAGTGAAATCCTGGCTAGGATCCTTTGGAAGTATTTTGCAGTTTGGAACTGCAAAAAGATTTACCCTTTCTTGGAATCTGCCGGGTTTTTTTTTAACTGGTGTTTGCATATGACTGTAAGAGAAATGCACTCAGGTGTCAAAATTCAGGCTTAACAGCTGTATAAGTATTGTATCAATATATGTATTGCTCTTATAATATGCAGTATATTCTTTTAAGCTTTTGAAAGGGGATGTGTTGCTCTAGTTATTTTATTTTTCTGTGGCCTTCCTGCAGATGGGATAGTCGTCAAGGGGGATAGTTAATCTTGAGAGGGCTGGGGAAGGCCCCTATGACCCAAGGAATCCTTTGGCTTGGTCGAAACTGGCCCAGTTTCTTACAGATTGAGTAAGGCAAGGCAAACTAGGGAGGAGCTGAGCAGAAATGTGCAGAAATCATCAGACTGATTTACAGGAGCTATTTCCTTCAGAATAGTTGTATGTAGTATAGTTGTATTTAAAATTCACTTTAGGTGTTTTGTATAAATGAAGAAACAAAATCTTGCCAAGCTTACAGAGTTTTACATGACTCTGCATGCTATTTTGTTGGTTCCGTAAGGCTTAGCTGAACACTATGCGTAGTTGCAAAAAATATTTCATATGGCCATCTTAAAACTAATGTTTGATCTAAGACTGCCACACTGTTAGTTGGGATATACACTATTACCTTTGAGAACTGCGTCCCTAGCCTCCCTGTGCCTGCCTTCACCCCTCGGACAGGAAAACGTTGAATTTCTTGGGTTTTTTTGTAGAAAAACAAAACCAAACCCAACAGCCTGTCTAAAAGGCCTCCTGAAGCCAGTGAAATTGTTTTAATTTCATCCATAAGGGTATGACCTCTTAACAATTAACAGTTTGCAATTAGCAGAGATTTTTACTGTGGCCTCTATTGACTTTTCTTCTATTGAGAAGATGCGTTCCTTTAAAATGATTCTTGCCTGAAATCCAGTCTGTTTTGTTAATATATTTTATTTAGAAAGTAATTTAATATAAGTGAAGAGACAGATCTTTCTATTGTAGCTTCACTAGATTTTATTTTACAGTTTTAGATGATCATAGAAGATTTTGTTAAGTTTCATTTGTGGTGGAATTTATCATACCTTTGTGGTAAATTTGTTGCATTAATAAATATTACTACAATGGAGAGCGATCATAGAAACTTTCAAACCACTTACGTAGAAGTGCTGTTCGGTTGTTACAGGCAGGAACGGAATAGGAACTTTGAGTATGGATTTAAGAAATTTACAGTAATCCTATATGAGCTCCACTTTTTTTCCCATGAGGCACTCTAGTCACCTAGTTTTAAGTGGATGATCAATACATGTAAAACTATCATGGAGCAAGGAAAGTGCATTCTGGGCAACCGTTAGCAAACCACTTCTAGGGAAACTGAGCATCTTAGGCCTAATTAAGCTCCTTAGGCCAGTGCAACTTGAGGTTAATTATATACTTTGCATATGAGGGCACTTGGAATGAAATTCATCATCTCTATAGCCCATATGCCCTTGATTTGAGAAAGAGTTCACCAAATACATGCTTCTTCCTTTGGGAGCGCATTAAAAAAAGCAGTGCCTTTTGTCTGCAGAAGATTTTTGAGGGGATGTGTCTCTAGTCTTTGGGTGAAATGTGTGTAATACACAGCTGCGCTGCAAGTGCAAAATCTACCCAGAACGTCTTCAAATGCCCCAAAGCAGTTTAATGAAATGAGTTTATCAGCAGCCACGAAGTCATGCTGTCTGTTCGGATGGCCTGATGGCTGGGCCGGGTGAGCCTACAGAATCTTGTCATTTGGAGGCTTTTACCTCTCTTGTTGTATATGACATAGTTTGTAATCAGATGTAACATGACAGCAACAACTTGACAAGCTGATAATACACTTCACTTGCAAAATGCATGTGCAAGGCTGCAAAGACATTTTTATTTGAGCTATGTCACGTTTATGCATAGCAGGAGGATTGTTTTTTGCTGTAGGTCTACCAACAGAAAATCTGAGGGGATCTTGAGTTTTTACCTTTTAAAGTATGATTTATATTTTTCCAGCTGTGAAGAAGTTTAACTTTCCCCAGTCACACTAATTTATTTGGACAGTCATTCAGATACCAAGCACAGGCTGAAAGAGGTTCTCTATTAATTGCTCCCTGAAGCATGGGCGCCCTGTTTTCTAGCCATTAGTGTGCTTCATAACCTTTTATTATTTACCGTACTGGTGGAGGATGGAAGGAGATAGAAAAAGAATGCAGTTTTTCAGGACTCGCAGCTATTAATACAAGAGCAAGCATATCATTAAGAAAGTTTTTGGTTTGTTTGTCTTTATTCCTAAAGCATTAATTATTTTGAGAAGGCCAAAGATTTTCCTCACCCCTTTCAGACCAGTTAAGCGATATGGTTAAGAGATGCACATTTCCATGATTAAGAATGTATGCAGTTTGGCTGCTTTTTGACACTTGGACTGTCAAAACAAGCGTTTAGATACCCGTTTGCTGGCAGATACTTTAGCAGGAATCCAAAGCAAAGCTCAGACATGTGCTTCAGCACTGTGACACACTTCATTCACTCGGCTGCTCTTGTCCACCTTGCATAATGTTTTGATGTTAAATGTAGTCGCCGGAATTACCACTTGTAACTCTGATTAGGTGATCTACGAGCAAGGTCAAAACAAGCAGAATGCGTAAGAAGAGAGGTCTTTCTCTATTACATAATATGCAGGCAACAGGAACGTGGCTTAATTCTGGCTTGCAGCCATCAGACTCCTCCATCGTCTGTCTCTGTTTCCACAAGAGGTGGATTATGGCTGAGAGGGAAAACAACGTTTTATCCTCTGCCAGAAACAAGGGTTACAGAAGAAAAAAGGCAACAGCAAGTTTCAGACTGAGCTAACCTTGCTCTGGTATGTTCCTGCAGTAGCTTTGTGGGATGATCCAAGAAAACCCGGAAGAATTTCCCCCGCTGCTGTACTCTCGCAGAGTAACACAGCGACGCCATGCCAGGGCGTCAGGCTAGGACTGTCTGGTGACTGTCTGTGAACCTGTCTCCTCACCAGGCTCTTCAACTCTTTGAAGTTGAATAGTGCTGTATGTATTTCTCTGAGTCAAATCTTGTTACTTCTGTTCATTTTTGCTCAAGTTACTCAAGTAAAATTCTGTCTAAAAAGGCCTGAGCAGTGACAACGGAAGATCCCCGGGTAGGATCCCCAGGTGTGCTCTGCATCTGGCATGTAAACATAGGAGAGGGCTGTTCACATGGTGACACTTGCCACTCTCCTGACTCCTTCAGAAATCCTATGTGGGTTTCCATAGGGATTCAGCTCCACGGAGTTAGTAGGAGGTGGAAAGCAGTACAGATTCAAACTGTACTATTCTCATGCAAAATAAGCCTAGGAAAGCAGAATAAGTTAATAGAATTTGAGCTTGTATTAACACGTTTGTCCTTGCCTTCCATTTTCAATAATTCTTCTGGGGAGCTCACATGTGAGTAAGAACATTATATATATCTATATATGTATATATATTTGTATCAGCCTTTCTTGCTATTGATCCTTCAAAAACTTATGTTAATCAGGGAATCCCTGGTTGTCTTCCTTCCCCTACAGCTGAGCATGAACCGCACTTCCCAGCGACTTTCCGCTAGCAAACTGAGAGTTGAATGCACTAGACTGACTTTTCCTCCATCTGTTTTTTTTTTTTTTTTCCTGTGTGGAGAAGTATGAAGGCTTGACAATGAAAATTTTCAAGCTATACATACGCTTGTTAGAATGCTATCTCCACAACTCACTAAATAAGTGAAATACTATTTTTTACAGTCTGAGGCTCTGTTCTAACAGTCTTTCTTAAATCTGTATGTTTATTTAAATAGTGGTCTATAACAAAAATACCTGTCCTCTACCCTTCTGGTTCATCTGTCATTTTAACTGGGTGACGATGCATTGTTTTCTATTCCTACACTATATCATGTTCATTGCTATGGTATCACTAAACCTTACAAATTGTTCATCTGATTCAGTTTATTGCTATACTGGATATACATTGTGCAGCTATCTGTTTTTCAATGTCAAATCATATTTCAGAAACCTTTTTGTTATTATATTCGTCCCTAGAAAACACTGGACAGAAAATTACATTCATTATCAAATTCACAGAAACTAAGTTTTTTGAATGAATGCAGCTTATCAAGCAAGGTGTCGTAAAAGACAGTAACTACAGAAAACCAAAGTAAAACATTCACTGTCATTATTGAACATTTTTAGCTTTATTATTATAATAGAATTACAGTCTGACATAAAATAAAGAGCTTTTGCTAAACTCTGTAAAGCAATACATGCTTCTGCCATAAACAACCTCTATTAGATTTAGATTTTATTGCCACATCACTGCACTGAGGTGCAATAAACATTCAATGTCATCTTTTTTAAAATTATCCCAGGAGTAAACAGAAACTGTCCTCTATAAGAGTGTATCATTATTTTCAAGGAAGACTTACTATTATTACATGGTTTAGCAAAGCACTGTAAAAAAGCTACATAGAGAATACCTTGTCTTTGATAAACTGTGCAATCAAGTTTATACAGTATAATACTATTCTCATAGACTAACAAACTAAGAGGTGATATAATGCAGTCATTGCATAGCAAAAAGCAGACTAGTTAAGTAATATTCACATCTAATGTGCAAAATGCAGACCAAAAGGTAGCTATGAATTGTTAGAAAGATAAAATGCCCTAAATGGACACACTAGATTAACGCCAAAAATAACAAGATAAACAAGTACACAGAAGTTAAAGAGCCATAGTTTATTTTTTTCTATACATATATCTACACGATACCAGAAGATGAAACACCCCCTTTTATTAAGCTCCAATCAGATAACTTATCAAGTTTAGACAAGACTAAATGTTAGACAATGAAGCATGATTTTAAAAAAAATCTTTTTTTTAAATAAAAGATTAACTATTTTCTTTTTTAGATGTAGAATGGCATCTTCTTGATTTATTGAGAAAGTTTATAAAACATTGCCTGAAACATGAATATGAAATTTGAGTCTCATTAGCTCTTTCTCTGAAGGCTCATGTAGCATTATTTTTAAGTTTATTCAATACCATATATTAACAGTTTCTGAATCGATGCTTGCAAAAATCCACCAGTCTTCCTAGCTCTTTGAAAATTCCTTATCTGACGTTTTGTATTTCTAAGAATCAGCAGTACCGACACTGACTAGAATTGTTTTAAAGGGAGCACAATACCTGCAAAATGGACATCTTGTATTTAAAGCCCTTACATATTGTTCCTACAAATATATTGCTACAGTAAAAATGAAATGTAGTAAGTTTACTCAATAAAATCTATTTTCCTGTACATTCTGTTGTGTATGATTTTTTTGTTTTTAATGCTACATATATTACATCGCTTATTGTAACAGTTATGTATCAGCAAATATAGCAGTAATATACAGATGAACTTCTGTCTTAACAAATATTTCACCATTTTTACCTACCAAATATAATCCCATACTTTAGTATTTACGCATGACCTGAGCAAACCAGTCATTAATCTAATAGTATACATTGGATGACATTGTCAAATTGCAAGCTACTGTACAGTAAACCACTTTACAAATGGAATTAATTCCAAGCACTTTCTATGTATTTTTTTTAGGCTTTCCAGTACCACTGATTTATTTTTTTTTTAATCCAGGCTCTAAATATGTTTTATTGAGCATTTAACAACATATTAAGAGCTAAGAGGTGAATCCTACACAATGTTTTAAGAACACAACTTTAAAAAAGTAAAAAAATGTACAATCTCATGCTGCATATTTACATATATTTAAATACTATATTTTGTCTTTCTGCTATCCATAAGTTTCAATCTAAAGCTTTTTTAATGTATCATTTTATAAAAGAGTACATTCAACATATCTAGAGCTTGCAAAACTTTTTTTGTTTTATTTTTAACTCTCTGAAACATAGTGATGTGTAAAAGCTACCTGTAAAAGCCTCCAGGAGTAGTTTGGATTAGACAGGAGACAAAGGGGACTTGGGATCTGCATTTGATTGTGCAACAGGTTTTACATCTAGTCTAGTGACAACTTAATGCTTAGAACAAGACTGCAGTAAGACAGCAGATTAAAGCATTTGTTACCATTAGATCAAATGTGCTATACAGTGATAAACTGTACCTAGAGTGAGCAGATTTCCTTTTTCTTTTAAGATCATTTAATATTATAAGTCAAGTAGTTTGGCCTATAGAAGGGAATAAAGCTAGGAAAATAAGATATCTTATGGAATTCAACAAATGGAAAGCTTTACAGCCTTGAAAAGTTTATAAACAGTGCTTGAATAAATGGTAAGTACAGTATAGTATGTGCAACATGAACGTCATAAAGAACACTTTCCCACTCCCCCAAATCCTTTGAATAAAAATATCTTTTTCACGTACATATACAATATCTTTTGGGGACATTCAGTAATACGCTACCTGCAAATGGTTTCCTGTTTCTCCTTGCTAGACCTCTTCCCTTCTCTTTTTCAGAATCACTTTTTAAAAGCATGTTGCTCACATTGTTCTTTCCTTCACACACGGGGTTTTGTTTAAGTATATAGATATATTTTACTTTTTGTCAAATAAAGAAACCTTTATTTTCTTTAAGACAGAGGCAATGAAGCAAACGGGAATTACTATATGTGGAAACTAAAAGCAATTCCCAGCGCAAAACACAAAACAGAACTATGTGAGTAAATGAGGTTATTGGTGTGGAGTTGGGGCTTTTAGCTGGGGCTCCCGGTTTAAATAGGTAGCCCAGTAGACTAAATTAAAGATTCCAAAAAGCAATGGGAAGGCTATTCTTGATAGTCGATCGATTTTGCTGACGCTGTTAAAAGTTTTCTTGGGTTCTGCAGGTTTTGTTTCTGGTTTAACTTCTTTGGGCTCTATTGTTGCACTTTTAGCAATGGTTGCCAGCCCAGGGTCCCTTGCAATATTAGGGGTGTAGCTCGTAGCTGCAGCTGTGTATGTGTTATTTTTCTTAATGAGAGGATCCTTCACTTTCTTTGGCTGAAGAAAGAAGAAAATATTTTATTCTTCCTGTCTTCTCAATAGATAATATTACGACAAAGCACTATAATATTTTGCTATGTGTGGAATTTACACCACAATTGTAATAAGCTCCAGGTAAAAAGATAGAGTCTATATAAATGATTCATGCAGAATATTTAGGTAAAGAAAATGACAGAATCATTCATTTTGTTTACTTTTATTAATTAAACCAAATTATATGATGGATAAGCTATAATGAGGACTTATAGTGATAGCTAGGATCACGGATATACAAAATTACCTGTAACAGTAATGAATAATGACAAACTACTTATAATTCAATGTTCCCTTAATCAATTGTACTTCTTGACCAGGACAAATACTTTAAGAGACACTGAATTGCTTAATGTGGCTTTTCAGTATTAAGACAAATAATGTTATATGAGGCATTCTTACACAATTCATACCTAAAAACATGTGACTAAGCACTAAGAGAGTGTATTATTTATTAACATGCTTATTTAATAACATGCAAACCTGCTTAATATTCTATATGCGAAGGGTTTAGACTAAAAGCAAATGCTTTATGGAATAGATCCTTAAAGTGCTTGTTTGAGTGCTACAACTGGGCCGTAATGCTGAAATGTCACCCCAAATACAGGGACTTATAGAGCTGTATGGTTTTGGTGTCCGTCTACTTATATTGTTAAAGTAATAATCCCAGAAAGATTGAAAAAAAATCTTAGAAAAGATTGAAAAGCTTACTGGAGAAGAACTTAATGATCAGAAATATGTCGATTTTGATCTGGGCCCTTATGCTTTATAGTATTCTAGTTGTGGGGGAAAAAAATAGCAGCTGGGTATCCCATCTGGAATATAGCTGTGCCTGTTGCAGGCTGTCCAAATCTCCCCCCAGCCACTGCGCCAAGATTAGTATAGGAGAGAGATGTAGTGGATGGGCAAGGAGGCTTGAAAACAGTACCGCTTTGCTGCAGGTACCTCTAGTTATTAGAAAACAAAAATAAAAAGACCCTGAGAGCTTAGAAAATCTTTAAGCTGTGTTTGGCAGAGAAAGAAAAAGCAAATGTCAACAGTTTGATCCTGTAGAAGGCGGGGGGGGGAAATGGTAAGGCTAAAAAAAAAAATCAGCAGAGTGTGATTTATTACATCATTTCATAAAATAAATATAATCCTCTGTTTTCAAGGTGCAGCTGCCCCAAAGAGGCAGCACTTTCTGAAGTGGTCACAATTTATGACAGATCAGCTATGGGTTAATAGTTATATAGGCAAGCCAGTGGTCCATAAGCAGGGAGGCTTTGGTTAGTGAAAAACTCTTGTTCAAGGGGAGAGCATTTCAGGGAGCAGATGGGCTCTGGGAGGACACCTGAGAGCGAGCAGGGAAACTGCAAAAGCCTCAGGGCAAGCGGGTGCAGAGGCTTGCTGATGAGTGCTGTGGAGCCCTGCACGGGCGGGAAATGGGGGCTGCGGTGCTAAATTTCTGTTTTTCAGTAAGAAAAGGGATTGAGATACTGCCTGCGATGCAGATGATCTTTATTTCAGGAAAAGAGTATTCAGCCTAGCTTGAGGCTAAGAAAAAGCTTCAAATTATCTTAGACTATTTCTGCTGAACAGTAGAAACAAACACCTGAAGAAGAAAATACTCAGAGAAGGAGGTTTTAAGAAAAAAAAAAAAAAAGGAAAAGAAAAAAAGCAAAGTCGGAAAGCTTTTTGGTATATCTGTCCATAAAGCCCAGCTTTAGGGCTGCCACCTTACACAGTTCACTCCTCCTCCCCTGCTAAGCCGCTTGCCGAGTACAAAGGCAGTCCTGCTTCCTCCTCGGCTGCATATTCGAGCCAGCAGCAAGGCACCCAGCAGAAGGAAGGACCGTTTCACAGGCGGAGGAGGAGGAGACCCAGTCGACAGATTTAAATTTCATGAGGAATCTGATCTACGCAAAGGCCTGACACCAGTCAGCGTCTTAATATTTTATGAGAAATTCAAGTTTATGAAAAAGTAATACGACAGCTAATCGGAGCCCTAGATTTTAGTAAGCCGTGGTCACTGTTAGTTGGCCTTGCTTGGCTTGGCCTCACCCTCTGCAGGTAACGCGCTCCACCAGGTACAGGTTTGTCCTTGCTGCCTCGCGCCAAAGGACACGCAAAGACCCTTGCCTTGCGAGGTAACATCTTGCAATGTTTTAAGAAGTATCTGAACGTTGTTTTTCCTGACTCTTTTCTGCAAATGCAATTTTTGTTTGAAACAAATGAAATGGCTAACCATAATGGTATTACAACATAGGCTATATTTAAATAGGCAATATTTGCTTTTTCAAGGATTTTGTTCTGTTAGTATTTAAAAAAAAAATTATGAAAATGTGAGGACCACAAAGAATCAGATAACTGATTTTCAATGAAATTGTCATCAGTGACTGAAAACTCAATATTTGCCAGCAAACCATTGTGCAGCTCGTTCATATAAATTCCCTAAGTTACTTCATTCATTTGTTCTACAGTGCTTCTGTTAGTCATTGTTGTATAAATGTCCTAATTTCTATTTCTATTCTATCATGAGATGACTTATGCAACAAAATAGCAAAAAAAAAACCCCTAACAACTATTTAACATTATTTAGACATACACTCCTGAATTAAACACACATATCCGTGTACCAGCGAGTAACATCTGCTCCTCCAAATATTTATTTTGCTGAAACTCTAGTCTGTGAGTGTTTATAAAAAGCAATTAGAGAAGTAAAAATTCTCTTGTGAGATCTCTTAAAAAGTAGCCCAAATGAGCTTCCTCGCAGAAGCAGCTGACATGATAATTCATAGGAAAGGGAAAACTTTCTCTTTGATCTCCTTTGTCCTCAGCAGTTTCTCCATGTGCACGCGACTTAGAGCCAGACTGTGACCCCAGACCGAGCGGAGTCGGTGCGACGTCTCGCCCTTGTCTTCGGAGAGGTACGAATCAGGATTGCACACGTCCGGCACAACCCTACATACACCCTTCCCCAAAACACATCTCTTTCTCCCACAGGCTACGAAGTAAAAATAATGATATTTCTGTTTTATAAAAACTGGGGAATGATAGGAGGATGACAGGACGTCTCCTCTATGTTGAGGAAAAATCTACTTTGGAAACTGTAAAATACAGCAGCCACAAGATTTTTTTCTACACTTATACTGAGGCATCCACATTTTCCCTAGCTTGTACAGCAGAGATTCAATCTCCTTCCCCCCAAAAAATTCACGTTTATCTTCTTTCTGTTTAGTCACACAAGTCAAAATCTCAATGGATATTTGCAAAAAGTTTTTTCTCTACAAAAAAAGGCAAAACGAGCATAAATTTTGAACGATCAGCAGCGTTAAATATCATCCAGTATGTTAGAAGTCTGCATATTTAGGTACTCAGTGCCGAGTAACTAGTGTTACCCTTGCACGGTCCCATGCTGAGGAAGCGTGGAGCGGTCTGTCCCCCCCAGGGCCGTCTTTAGCTGGTCAGCGTTTCACGTGTGAGGGACAGCACCAGAACTGGGCCCCCTTTTTCTGTTGTGCCGTGCTAAGCTGGCTGCATAGAGCTACTCTCCCTTTGATTTACTTGCAGAAAACAAGTGTTTTCAATGCACTGCGTGACAGACAAATTGCGCATAGAGTTGCTAGTAGAGCCACGTGAGGACATGCTTTTGATAAAGTTATTTGCACTGCACAGAAGCTCTACTGGGTGAAACCCCACGCGTGAGACGCTGAGACCTGTTACGAGATGCAGTGAACAGCGTTACCTTTTCAGGAACGACGCTTTTGCCGTCCCATGCGTAACCTCTCTTTGTGAAGTAATTCACGGTTGCAAATTCGATGAGAGCCGAAAACACAAAGGCATAGCACACTGCTATAAACCAGTCCATGGCCGTGGCGTAGGCCACCTTGGGGAGAGAGTTACGTGCGCTGATACTCAGCGTTGTCATTGTCAAGACAGTTGTCACTCCTGCAAAGCAGATAGTTTTAGCATCTTTAGATCAGTGGCTGTATTTTGTGCTTAATTTCTCAGCTATTACAATAGGTGGGAAACCCTGTTCCTTCCTTCCTTCCTTCCCCCCCCCCCACCCCATTTCTTCTGGACTTCCCCACTTAAATGCAGTAGCTGGCTGGGGGTATCAGATTTCAGGTTCTCTGGAAGTTGAGGGATCTTTGAAACATCTCTTTTAATTCTTCGGCATTGTTTTAGTAGACTCCAATTTCAAACATTGGATTTGGAATAATATTTTGAGATGGGGACTGGATGCCACTTAACCTTCATGACATTTGGGGAATCACCTTTGCGGTTCTGTATCCAAGCCCTGTGAATTGTCGTACAGATTTAACAGGTCCACATTTTTATTTCTTCTTGCAACAATTCTAAGATACTTAGATAGAAAACTATAAAGGTCTTGTTTTCATGTTAATTAGCCTGATTATTGCAAAACAGTTTATTTAGTAAATGTTAATATATGTTCCTTCCAGCGTATGCACAAATGCAATTAGCTGTATGCGATACTACATTTATTTGAACTGATGGTTTTACAAATTTCTGTCCTTTCATTCACGATGCCCTGGAAATAGCAAAGAAGTTATGTAAGAACCGTGATAAAGCAATCTGGATGTCTGATATCAGAGCTTCATACTGCATTCGAACCTTTTCCCTTCACTAGCCATGGAGCTTTCACTGGGAGGAGCAAGACTGCACTGAATTCACACCACTTACAGATGCTTGCAAAAAAATCTACAAGGCTAGCCGTTTACATCAAATCACATGTCCACAAGTTACCTTGACAACTGCAGTGTCACGTATTAAATGTCTCTTGCAAGTTTATTTTGACTGCAGTGAATGTTAGTGAAAACGCGCAGTGGCCTAAAAAAGGCTAAATAACAAACAACGGATTTACATAGTAGTGTAAAGACCTTGAATTACTGGTGCCTAATGAGGATGCAACTTCTCTTCCCTAGGAGACAACCTAATCCTGTCTCTGACTTGTTGCTAGTGAGCTTATGTTCCTCTTATGTAGTAGCAAAATAGGATTTATGATTTGTATTATCTACAGTGGTAAGTGGGCTAAAGGACGTAAGCTGTTCTTCAGTGTCTGCACATATTCGTGCAAAATATAAAGAGACATTTTTTAAGGGTTGTTAGGGAATGAAAAACCTCCCATCTTGATACATTATGATCAAATAAATGCAACACTAGTTTCTAAATAACTGTCTTCTAAAATGAAAACTTTTAGACATGTGGGTTGTTGAGCCTGTAAAGATAGCAGCTTGAACATCAGACGGTGCTATACGTTATTCATTGTGAGACTAGGAAATTTTGTTCTCCATCTAGAGACAAAGAACTACAACACTGCAAACTCCCAATCTCACATTTCCTTTCAAAGGGCACGTTCAAAAGAGATAAAATAGTTACAATTTCCATATCTTTTAGTACAGAGTCCTGTAAAAGTCCCATATCAATGCTCAGTAAAGTCAAATGATAAAACTTCAGAACTGATTTTAGATTTTAATCTAAATGATATTTATGTAAAACAAATTTAATTATATTATGCTTTAAACTGTTCTTCTCTAAACTCACAACTGTATACCAGCAGAAGGCCTCTGCTTGTTCCCTAAGGTCTACGGCTATGCAAGTCGTCACTCATTTCCAGAGGCGCTAAGAAGCTAAAGCGCAGCTGCGACGAGTGCCTGCAAAAGCACAATGAAAATAGCTCTTGTTCAGTGAGAGTCTCAGGATCTCAGTGGTTCTCAGGATCAGGCTTTGCGACTCTCCAGCTTTGGCCAATGTAGGTGGACAAGCCCTGTAGGCAGCAGCCGCGTGTGGCTCTGCTCCTGCCCCGTGCGGGGTGAGGGGATCGGAGGGAAGAGGCAGCCTGGCTGTCTGTTTTCCACCCCTCCTGCCAAGAGTGCTCAGATGTCTCCTTTGAACATCACCAAAAAGGCTGGGTCACATTGGAGAAATCTCATGTTCTATTTTCTATATTTGACGTCTTGTTACATCTTTTTTTTTTTT